CTGGGGTGGTGCAAATGGTGAGTAGGCTTGGCGGCTAGCCCAACGATTGGGGTTGGGGTACATGGGGAGAAAGGCCTGGCAATCAAGTGCTGAGGCATCAGTCCCTGGCAGCCCTGCAAAGCGCAGTTCTACTCTGAGACACAAGGGGTCTCCATGAGTTGACTTGATGGGATCTAGTTCAAGCATCCTTTTTTATGACGCAGGGTTGCAGGGCTGTCAGTCCTGAGTGATAAGTACAGCCGGAGCCTGGCCCCGGTGCTGGCGGCTGCCCGCTGACCAGCTATCTCCTTCCTGTGCCTGCCCTTCCAGGGCTGCCGAGAACTTGCTGGAGCCACAACCACCAGGATCCTTTCTCATCCGGGTCAGTCACAGTCACGTGGGCTACACGCTGTCCTACAGGTGAGGCTGGGCCAGGGGCCAGGGTGGGGCAGGGTCTTCCTCTGCAGCTTCCTCGGGGCCGAGGGTGAAGGGGCTCTTCATGCCACACTGTCTCAGGGAGCAATCGGCACGGGGGTCTGTCCAGATCCAACTGTTGCAGGTCTTGCTGGAGCTATGCTGGATCCCGCTGCTGTTGGGACTCTATCTCAGGACAGGGACTACTGGGGGCTCCAGAGCTGTCCCATCATGGCCCTGCCAATAGCTTGGCCCCGTCCAGGAGGCTGTGGGTCTCAGGGAGGGTTAGAGCAGCCTGGCTGCTGGAAGCCCAGAATTTCGTCTGATATCTCAGACGATTGAGAACCACCACTGCTTTCCAATTGCAAATCCAAAGATGCTTGGCCAGAGGGATAATAAATAAATCCAATGGCTCAGTTACAGTCACGGGAAAAGCTTGGGCCCCGAGTTTCGTGGTCACAAGTTCAGGGTCTTACTGCGGCACTTATATCCTTGACACAAGTCACTAAGCCTCTGGGAGGGACCCTCAAAGTCCTCCCAGCTCACGTGGGAATGTTAACCTTTAATCCAAGAGTCCCGGAGGGGTGCCAATGGCTAAGCTCTTGACTGCTAACAGAAAGGCTGGAGGTTGGACTCTACCCAGAGGCACCTGGGAAGAAAGGCCTGGCGATCGGCTCCCCAAAGGGCACAACCTTGAAACACCTATGGCGTTGGTCTACTGAGTACACACAGCACGGCCGTGAGTTAAATAGACCCATGAGCAAGGTGAAGCGCCCCGATATGACGACCCATGAGCTAAAGTGACGATGGAGCGCATTTACATGTTGGGCTGCTAACCTCAAGGTCAGCAGCTCTGAACCACCAGCCGTTCCTTGGGAGAGAGGCGAGGCTTTCTACTCTCGTAAAGGGTTAGTCCCGAAAACCCACACGGGCAGTTCTGCCCTGTCTTAGAGGGTTGCTATGAGAGGACTTCGACTGGATGGCAAGGAGTCTGCTTTTTTTTCTTCTTGTAGTAAGCACACCACAGGACATTAATCAATGCATTCCTTGGTTACCCGAACATTTATTGAGCACTTGCTTAGGCTGAGACCTGACTCCCACAGTCACCTGGGCAGGCGTTTCCTGATCCTGACCTCCTGCCAGGCAGCGGACTAAGTTTTCCCCTTGTTTTCAAGTAGCTGGGCAGCCGGTTGCCATGGGATGCCTGCTACAGGTGGTTGGGGTGGAGGTGGGGTTGTCCCAGCGGGCTGCCATGGGAGTGCCCCAGCCAAGGCCGGGTCCCCACAGGGCCCAGAACTGCTGCCGCCACTTCATGGTGAAGCTGCGAGAAGACGGCAGCGTTGTGATCCCCGGGGGCGGGGTGGCCCACGCCTCACTGCACGCCCTGGTCACCTTCCACCAGCAGAAGCCCATGCGGCCACACGGCGAGCTGCTCACCCGGCCCTGTGGGCAGGTGAGGGGCCCCTGAGGGCACAGCCCCCTGCAGCCTCTGGTGATTTCCGACCCAAACCTCCTCTCCTGGTCCCTGCCCCCACACCCCACCCACCCCGTGTGGATCGTCCCTGCCCCGTGGAGGCTCCCTCGTGGTGTGCGAGGGCTGTGCCCAGGGTGTCCACCAGGCTTGTGGGTGGTGGCATTTCTTGAGAAGTGCAGTGGACAGTGGCCTGGAAGGAAAGTGGCCTTCCATGCCTTTGTGGGTGGAGCTTAAGTCCACCCAGGGTAATTGAGGAAGCAATGGGGTGGGGGCGGGGGCGCATATGCGCATTATAGTCCTGGCTGATCCCTGGCTCTGGGCTGGGCAGACTCCCTTCAGAGGCCCGGTGGGTGGGCATACTTTCCTCTGTCCTTTGTGGGCAGGACGTTCCCACCTTCCAGGGGTCCCCCCACTCTACGCCTCCTTGGAGCTGAGCTCCTGGGTTTCGGTCCCGCAGGAGGATCCCACATGCGTGGACTACGAGGACCTCTTCCTGTACAATAACGCGCTGGTCAAGGAAATCGCCAGCGAGCACC